ACTTTAAAATAAAGCATTTACTACTGGCAGGTACATATGTAGACGATACAACTACATGAAAAAACAACATGATTAGAAGTTCTAAACATAAAAATAAAAAACTACATAAGTAGAAGTCTCTGAACTAGAAAGATCATATTTGTCCACCAAATACATATACCAATAAAAATAATCACTCCTCTACCAAAACCCGCAAGTATTCCAGTCGCAATTCAGGCGCAAGTGCCAAGAAAATTTTCATTCGCGTTGAATCCTCCAGTTTTTTCACACACTGTGCATGAAATCGTTTGTTGGCCACAACTTCAGGAATAGTGCCCAAAAGCCTCAGACAGTCTAATATGCTATCTTCAGATATTGGTGGAGCTGCAAAAGCTTCAATTAAACGGTCGAAGGCGGTGTTCACAGCATGTTCTTTCTCTTTATTTTTCTTAGCAATCCTTGGCCTCTTTAAAATTGTACTGGACTCCCCCATATCCCTCTGGTTAATGCTTTGAACTTCTTCATCGGGTGTCACTGGATCAGGTGTGATCTCATCTGGTATCCCTGTAAAACCGCTTTCAATTGGGTTGTATGAAAACTTTCCTGTTGCGACAACCCATCTAAACATTATGTCCAATTTCGCTTCAAATTCCGGCTCTATTCCACACTGTTTGTACTTCTTCGCTGCCGGTACTGCCTGTGGAACAGCATTTAGAGGGGATTGTTAGAAAATAATTTGCGAAGCTAACAATTCATGAATTATATATAAATTACCTCTAGTTTTTCAGCCCACCATTCAGCTGGAGCATCAATTGTCCTTTTAATCGGATCCCAACCCAGACCGGTAGATCCACGCTTCAACTCCTTCCATATTTTCCATTCCTTCTTCAGCTGGTCCCATTTGTTTTTAAATTTAAGGCGGTCGTAATCCCTACCAGTCAGTTCTTTAAATCTCTTGCCAATGCTATTCCACCCTTCCTTATTAAAATACGTTGTTGGTCTGTTACCCAGCTCTATTTCTTTAATACACAAATCACAGAAAATATTTGTAACCTCTTTGTCCCACATTGCGGACTGGCCCCCCTCAACCACTTTAGACATGATTCAACAGCAGGGAATAAACAGCAGTGAGTATGACCTGTCATATAACATATTATCTAATTTTCTACCAATTAAACATGAACAAATTGAATGAGTTAAAGTACCAATAAGGCATCATAATTACAGCAAACAATGTAAAAATCACAGAAATCTCTATCTTAAGGTCATTAATGGAGTTCCTCATACCTCTATCAGTTGAAAGGTTTCAGTCGGCGGCCTTGAATTCTCTGGTAAGAGAAAAACATGTAATTGTTATGACCAAAAAATTGATTTACATAAATTTATTTCAAAAAAGATGAAAGGAATTTCACACTGATTTTATCAAAGAAAGTGTAGATAGAAAAAGAATGTTTTCTCCCTACTAGCTAGCTCTGGTGTGGTCAAATTTAGAAGAAATATATACGTACAAACCACTCAATTCTTATACATTTACATATCAGCACCTAAACTTCAATTTGTGACATCTGCCATTGGTAGCTCCAATACTAATTTAATGCTGCTGAAATTAATGCTGCCACTAGAACTATTTAATTCAACACTACCACTAAAGTTAACAACTTCATACCCAAAGCAGGGATTAAAACAAACTTAGGTATAGTTAACAACTTCATACCCAAAAGGAAAATAAATGCATCAAGGATATTACATGGTGATGGCAGCAAACGAAGCATGCCGTTAATTATCCTTTTGCTTGCTTTCATTCAGCAATAGCTTATTACATTATTAGCAATAGCTTTTGCCAAATTCAGCAATAGTTAATTCTGTAGTTAGATATTTTGCCAACCTTCAAGCTACTTATCGTGTTCTCGGGTATTTCAAATCAAACACGGAGAAGGGGATTCTCTATTAAAAAAAAAACATAGAACTCTGAAACCACAAGGCCATAATAATCAACTTCAAGTTATTGCAATTGCTCTTATGAAAATGTATTACGTGAACTAAGAAGAAGTGGTGTAGACAAAAAGTGTGGAATCTAAATTTAGAGCAACAATCAAAGAAATTAGTAAACTTTTGCTGCTAAAAAGAACTAATGATTGAATATAAATGATCTATGAGGATATATAATGGCAAAAACAATTATTATAACATGATCAAACCAAAAACATGAGGGTAAATAAACACTTCATAAGAAAAAAAAAAATATATTGATCATAGAAGATAGGAAGCGTCTTCGACAATGATAATAGAAGAGTAAGATCACCACATGACCTAAGGTAAAGAGGAAGATGCTTCGCAAATACTCTTTCACATTACTGAAAAGACGTTCCTAAAACTCTATAATCAACACCGGAGAGATTCTTTTGTGAAGGAGTATATGATCGAATTTATATTATATAAACTACTAGGACATGAAGTACCAAATGAAAATTTTTGTGAGGATCCGAGTTTTGACAATAATGGTTATATTCTATGCATGTATATTGAAATGTAGAAATGATGAAAAGGTTAGCTAATCTTCAAGTTTGCAAGGTTTGTGCTATTTCCTACCCAAAAGCTTGAACGACAATTTTCTTTTGAATCTTTATGTGCTAAGTGTTGGCCACATTCTTGCAAAGGATGCATGTGGCTATTCTAATTCTGAAATTGTGGCTTCTATTCTAATTTTCTTTTGAATCTTTATGTGCTAAGTGTTGGCCAGTCCCTGTAAAAGCTCAACAATATTTAAACTTTATAGCAGATTACATAAAAGACAATAATTTGGAAATTCAAATAGTAGCTTCTTCTCCATGTACAAAAAAATAAGAGGATTAAAAGCAAATTCAAAAAGAGGACTCAATCATTATGCAACAAAAGAGCAACAAATAAAGTGGCATTTACATACATACCACCCAATTCTGTTGTATTAACAATCTAACACCTATTTTGTTTTTGTTTTCATACCACCCAAATCCTTCAAACCACAAAAAATACAACTATTTTAACTTATAAAAATGGATATACACCCTTTAATGCTTTGTGATTTGTGATCGATTGGTGGATTGCAACCAAAGGGTTTTAACTACAGAACAACAGCAATTTTTTAACTTATAAATACAACTATTTTAACTTATAAAAATTGAATCCTACATTCTAACTACAGAACAACAGCAAATCAAAATTCCCAACCTTACAGCAGCAACAAAACAACAAATTTGATCACTCACCTCAATCTCCAGAGCAGAAACCCTTTCTGCGGTAGATCGAGGGCTGCGGAGCGGGGCGAGGTGCGGAGATCTGCGATCTGCGGGCGAGAACGACTGAACTGCGATCTGCGGGCCGAGGTGCGGTAGATCGCGGGCCGAGGTGCGGTAGATCGAGGGATGCGGAGCGGGGCGAGGTCCGAAGAGCTGCGATCTGCGGGCGACAACGAGGGCTTGCGGAGATCTGCGACGGAGATATGCGGCCTGCGGAAATTTGCGACGGGAACGAGCGAGCGTGAGGGAGATTTCGGGGAGGACGAGGGCGCAGCGTGAGGGAGATTTCGGGGAGGACGAGGGCGCAGCGTGAGGGAGATTTCGGGGAGGACGAGGGCTGGGCCGTAATAAGCCCCCGCCGAACGCCGAACGCAGGATGTCGGGAGCTTCTTCGGGACCGAATCGAATAGCGCCATTTTAACGCAGCGTTTAGCGATCGCAGGAGCGAACGCCGAAACAAACTCAGACGCGGCGTTTTGAAAACGCTGGACGCAGGTAATAAGCTGCGTCAAACGGGGCCTAAGATATCCTAACTGCAACATATTCTTCATATTTCTATTTAATTATTGTTGGAGCTTAATTTGTCTTTTGTGAAATAATTTGAAAGTTAGGGTCAGACGAAGGAGGGAAGAGAGTAGAATATGTTTAGAATTCTCTGTCGAGATCTATTTATTCATATTTTTTCTTCTTAGGAGAGTATTTTGTATAATTATAAAAAGGATGGAACGATTATAGAAACCACCTTTAAGATAGTGGACACTCTTATTAATCGTATGAATTTCTTACTATATTTGTATTTATAATTTGAGTTAGCATGTCAGTAATTAGCTTGCCGTCTTGTTTGAATTCTGCTGACCGACGCTACCAGCTAAGTGGAAATTGAGCTATCTAAAATACGTGTTGGTCGGCTGAGGTACTCGGTCTCAAGTTTTTCGTCATGGCGTGTTGGTCGATTCTTGACCATGCAGTTAACAATAAGGTGATAGGATGTCTAGGTTGTTGGGTCGTCGTCTATGCACTTCGGATGCTTTGAAATACATGCTGATAGGTTAATAGATAGATAGATACAATTTAGGAAGATTTATATACATAACACTTATGTGTATTTCATTTTATTCAAGTTAAAATGATGCTGTTATGTGACATGAACTCTTAGGTGATATAAATGTAAAAAAATTAAGTTTATATGTAAATACAAAAGAATTAGGAGTTATCTATGTAAATGTTATTATATTTTGTGTTTTGAGAAATTTAATATATATATATATAT